ATATTTATTCCAGTTTATGATGCATGTAAAGAATAAATAAAGCTAATCGTATATCTATTTACAGCCCCATTAATATCCACTATTATTTTATAATTCTTTTATAAAAACGTTAACCCCACACTAGGATTTTCTCCCGTATCGCGCAGGCAATTTACAAACATAAATTGCACAAGGACACACATCCAGACCCGAAACAATTATTTGTAGGACATACAAATACTTGTTCCGTGCGGGATCAAACCCGCGGCGCCCGGCGCAGCCACTCATTGCTGAGCCACTGCGCCACGGTGCTTATAAATTCGTCCGCACATTGGCCCCAACCGAAGTAAACTGAACGACCTTCCAACGTGTGGACGCCGTCACCAACTCTCGGCCAATATATTCGCCACTACATTCGCCACTGTATTGGCCAACGTGTAGAGGCGACATAAGTTTGAAACTGCCGTGGTAGCTCTCACTGTGATTTTTAAAGCACGCGAACAACCCTAGTTCGATGTCCGCCAATACTATTGAAATTGTTAATTGCAAGTTGAAGTGTTGATTTATCACGTGCTCGGTGGTGAAGGAAAACATCGCGAGGAAACCTCTAAATAAGAAGATATATTTCAAAGGCGTGTGAAGTTCGTCAACACACATTTCTTTACCCTATAAACCCTCCCATAAATGAGAGGATGCCTGTGCTCAGCTGTGGGACGTAAATAGGGTGTAACGTAAATGTGGGACGTAAATAGGGTGTAACAACTTTTAAGTTGAAATTTATGCAACGTACATGAGGTTCATCTACCCAGTGATGGGCAAAGCTCAAGGGGCCGACCGATGAATAGGAATGATTGTAATGATTAATGATTAAAATCTTTTTTAGTTTGATTTCATTTATTGAAATAGCTTTTTTTGATAAATAAAGACGGCAAACGTGCACATGGTCCACCTGATGGTAAGTGGATGCTATGGTCCATAGACATCTATATCTGTCATCGATGAAAAACCAAAATACAGATGCGTTGTTACGTTACTTATTATAATATTATTCGTGCTACAACCATGTATAAATGCAGTGTGTCTCTATACGTATAAAGTTATTAATCATTATATTTACTTACAATGTATTGCATCCTATATATTACCCTTTTATCTTGTAATTTATCTGTACCGTTGTGATTGTTAGCACCTGCCTATTTTTTTTTTCAATTCACACAAAGCTCACTAGAAAAGAATGCCACAATGGCATTAAGTTTGGATCCTCCTTTAAATAAATAAATAAATGGGTGAGGACAAAATCAGCAGCAATTTTGGAAGTAACTTATTTCTTGTCATTTCCTTAAGACAAGGATTTCTTACGTTAAAAGGCTTTTAACACCTATTTCTCCACTGCAAGGATATTTGTCTAACACCAACTAAGTGTGCTGCATTTGGTGGATAAAGAGTTACTTCGTTGGAAAAGTGTTTGCTTGTTATCTGGAATGAATAATAAAAATAAAAATTAAGCCAATAAAGAATCGAAAAACGAGAACTCGAACTTCAAAGCTTTTCAGGGTGATATTTTCTTTTTATATTTTGAAACTCCATTTGATTAAGAATTAAATTGAGTATTTCGTGTATGCGCATATTTATATAAATAGCATTTACTATTTTAAGGAGAAACAACTCCCAAGCGTCGATATATATTATATTAATATTTTAAAGATCTACTACCGAAGACACATACTAACAGTCAGACATAAAATCGATCACGACTACCTATGGATTTATTCTTACACAATGTAATAATCCTATACTATGTAAATGTAAGGTCTATGAAACAAAAGCATTATTATGGAAGGTCTCTATATAAAAATATGAAAGGAAGATCTATTAAATAATCCAAATATATGGAAGGTTTAATGTATGTAAGAGTATTATATTGACAAGGATGGGACTTCAGACGTACTTATCGGAAGGGAGGGGGTTTTTGTGCAACCTGACCTTAAGCGAACTTTACAACACTGGTCTGAAACACGGAACGCTAGACATATCGCATCGTTGAAACTAAGACATGCGAATCAATTAGAAAAAATATTTTTTTATTTTATATTAACGATAATAAATGGATACGATACGACAAAAAAATCGTATCGTCGCCTCTAAAACATCTAAACAACATTATCGAGATTAAATTCTATTTTTCGCTAACACATCGCCAACGTGTACTTTTTTAAAAATTAGTATTGCGTTCGGTAAGCATTTCTTCTATTTTCGTATTCCACCAAATCAAAGATTTATAGATTTATATTTTAAAAGCATATTACATAAACGTAAAACGCCTCCACTAATTTCTCGGAGGTTATTTAGGACAGAATAGTGTCCTCCGCGTTGCCCCAAAGTAAATCAAAGAGGAAAAGAAACTTTTTTGTTCAAAATCGATTATAATTAAATTCAGATGCGTTGTTACCTCTGAGGACAAGGATGGAATACTTTGTATACAATAAAACAGGGTCTCCGGTTCTCTACACTCACCATATGAAACACAGGAGTATTAAGCTGCTGTATTATACTTTTAAGCAGATATTCTGAGAGAGCATGTTTCTTCTTTGGTTGAGCCGACCCATTCGTGCTACCACTATATACGGCTATGACTCTATCATGAAAAAAGAATGTTTTCACACTAAATGTGTGAGGAACTAATAAAATATGTGAAATATTTAGGAGTGAATGTGTTGATTCACATTTCAGGCAGAGATTTGGGTCAGTCTACTTAAGAATCTATGTTTATTATTGAATTATAAATACTGAAAATCGACATTGATGCTAAGAATTCATAAGTTTATTGCTGAACATATGAATCCCCCAAGGAATGCCACAAAGCACGATCCTGAGCCACCTGCATCCATCGAGTTCCTGCATGTCTTACCTTACCATGTAAGGGCCGCCCATTATTTTACAGCATTGGGTGACAAAAGAGCCCACAGTCTACCCAATGGTAAGTGGATGTTGTGGCCCATAGAAATTCACATTAATCCTCAATTAAGAATCAAAATGCAGATGCGTTGTCATCCCTGAGGACTAAGATGGAGTGCCTCGATTCTAGTAAATAGGAACTTCGGTTCTCTACACTAACCATGTGAAACAGCAGCAATTTTACGGTGGTATTTTGTGAGAGCGTGGTCCTGCCCCGGTCGAGCCAACCCATTCGTGCTATAGCTATAATATAGCTCCAACGTGGCTCTACCACGTAAAACCTACACTTCGTCTACCAGTAAAACATATTAAAACATAGTATTATTGACGTTTAGGAGAAAATATAAAATGTAACTCTACCATAGCGCCACCTACCGGTATAAGATTCTGCGATTTACCAACTTAGGTTTACCAAATAATAAAATCGCAGAAATTGATCCCGGTAGGTGGCGCTATGTTAGAGTTACATTTTTGTGGTTCGTGTAGAGGCGAATACCGTGTAGTGGCGATGTAAGAATACCCACTAGCCCATATCGTCCATTATGCATTCTTTATGCAGTCCCTTATGTATTACCCTTAAACGATGCCCGTTGAAGGTGACTGAAGGAAATTAAAACAAAAGATGGACAGTAGAATCTTTTGTTGCATTGTTATGGTAATGGTACAGTATTTGAGTTAATTTCTTCTACTCCTAAGACAATAAAGATCAGTGCATCACATACTATATTCCAGACAATTAAACTTGTGGCAGTCGTTTGTTTCACGAATGGCTACACTTTATTAGTCCTTATGCTGCGAACTTGAGTCAGACGAAAAATTGTATTGAAAGCATAAAACCTTTCATCCCTTGAATCTTAGACGACTAAATCTTTTAATTAGTTCTTAAGTTCTTTTTTTAAATTTATTTGTAAAATGTTACGATTCGGCATTGAAGTAATATGTGTAGTAATAAAAAAGTTAAATATACCTTAGATCACTCTAGATTTTTTAGATTCTAGATCACACTAGATTTTAAACTACCTAAACTAGTTTGTCCTATAGCCATAGGATGACCAGTTTGGCTTAGTCTGTACCGGTTTCTCCAAACGCATATGGGATGAACTTGTTTGGCCTAGGAAAAACTAGTTTATCCTAAAATCGGGTTTGCATACACATATATAATCTCATTTTTTTAAATAAAATACCAGCTTGTACCCGGCGCGTTGCTGCCACAGTAGAAATAATTGTGGAAGTATCGTTTTAAATTTGGAAGAATTATATTGTTTAATTATGAATGATCATTGCAATTGAATGATATATCTATATATTGAGTGAAATATATCTTTCATCTATATATTGAATGATATACATCTTTCAAATACATTTGTCGGTAATATACCCGCTCCACCTAGTGTAAGTTAAATGTACTATGCCTTTAATATAGTTGCGCATAGTTGCAAGCTGCTATGGATAAGAGATGCCCGCTTTCACCAACGACCCATAATATTTATGGGACCCCTTAGCATATTTAGGGGCCAGTTCGGGGATAGTTTCCGTTTCGCCAATTTTAAAGGGTCCGTTACTGACTAATCAATCCCCTAAATTTATGAGATAGGTTTTTGTTCCCATAAACCATCACATAAGGAAAAGAGACTTCTAGTGGACGATATGGACAGTGATCTATTTAATTTTCTTGATAATTTAGACACGACTGACACTATATTTGATATAAATCGTAGTCGTAGACCTAAAATATGTTGAAAACGACCAAATTATTTCAACGATTTCGATGAATTAGATTTTTTCCGAAGATATAGATTATCTATATCAACAGTGATATATTTGTTGGAAAAAATTGAACATTTTTTGGAATTTTCTGATAATAAGTGAGCACCTACCTATTTACGTAGGTAATCATAAATCAATTTTAATGTAGGTACCATAGTCCATAATATTATTTAAATTGTAGTGTATTAAATATTTAACATAATAGGTGGGCTCCTACCTTTTGACTTTTTACCTATTATACCTATCTACGAAATAACAACAATATATATATAAAGGTAAAGCATATAGGGTTACTTTATATGTCTTCTCCGCCACCAACGAAGCCCCCTCGGGGCGTAAAACAAGGAAAAGAAACTAGCGGTCTCCTAATGTCTGTTATACGGACCTTATCAGCAAGTGAGACAAATGAGCAACGTGAAAAAGAGAGGGCTAAGCTGGAAAAGGAGTACAAAAAGAGTGATGCCAGACTTGATGAGCTAGTTGCTGCACATTCACAAGAAATTACAGAAGTCATGCAGGTAATTCTTGCAAAAATTTTATTTGATTTTTCTAATTTACGTGGTAGAGCCATGCTGCAGCTATATTGTGCTTGCAGTACGAATGGGTCAGCTCGACCGGGGTAGGACCACACTCTTACAGAATAGCAGCGTAAAATAGCAGCTTAATGGTGTTGTGTTTTGTATGCAGAGTGTAGAGAACCGGAGACCCTTTTTACTGGAAACGAGGCATTCTATCTCGGTCCTCAGGGCTGCCAATGCATCTGCATTTTGATTTTTTTATCGAAGATAAATGTAGATGTTTATGTGCTACAGCATCCACTTAACATCAGGTGAACTGTGTGCTCATTTGTCACCCTTATACTATAAAAAAATGATTCTTAAACAGAATAATATGTGCGGCCGTGTAGTGGCGGTTAAGAATATCCACTACCCCATATCTTCCCGTGGGTGTCGTAAGAGGCGACAGAGGGAGACAGGCAGGAGATGGGCAGCAGCATCTTCGTGATAACAGCAACTGTACGACAAAAAAAAAACTGCGGTTGCCAACCCGCTCGCCAAGCGTGGCAACTATGGCAATATACCCCCCCATGAACAATTACACAAATAGACGGCCCCCAGTCCCCGGCGGCCCCGCTATTCCTGGCTACGGTGGCGACCATGGTAACGGCGGGGCAGGGGGTGCTAAGAATCTCCGGTGGAGGTTCGGTTGCCACCTACGACGACTCGACCTGGCAACATTTAACGCACGCACACTGAGGACTGACGAGAAGATCCTGGAGCTGGAAGAAGAGATAGACAAGTTGCGCTGGAGTATTATAGGATTATCCGAGGTCCGAAGAGAGGGGGAGGACACGGTGATTCTCGAATCCGGTAACTTGTTCTATCACCGGGAGGGCGACCATCTGTCCCAAGGAGGTGTCGGATTTATCGTCCACAAGTCTCTCGTCAACAACGTTGTACAGATTGAGAGTGTGTCGACGAGGGTCGCGTATCTGATACTCAGAATCACAAAACGGTATTCGCTGAAGGTCATACAGGTTTACGCACCAACGTCGGCACATTCCGATGAGGAGGTGGAGGAAATGTATGAGGATATTTCCAAAGCCATACATTCCTCCAAAACCCACTACACGGTGTTGATGGGAGACTTCAACGCAAAACTAGGCACAAGAGAAAACGGTGAGCTGAAGTTAGGGAAATTTGGAGTAGGGCAACGGAACCGAAGGGGCCAGCAGCTGGCTGACTTTATGGAGAAAGAGGGACTCTTTATGATGAACTCTTTCTTCCCAGAAGCGGCCCCACAGGAAGTGGACCTGGTCGAGCCCCGACGGTTCGACAAAAAATGAGATTGACTTCATTATGACGACCAGACGCCAACTGTTCAGTGATGTCTCAGTGATCGCAAGGGTGAAAACTGGCAGCGATCACCGAATGGTTAGAGGCACACTGAACCTAAACGTTAAGTTGGAGAGGTCTCGTCTAATGAAGTCAACGCTCCATCCCCCTCGTGCTCTAATCCAAAATCCCGAAAACTTTCAGCTCGAGTTACACAACCGCTTTCAGTGCCTACAAGATTGCAATGCAGTGGACGATATGAATGACAAGCTCGTGGAAACTGTCCATGCGGTCGGAGCTAAGTTCTGCAAGACCCGCCGCAGAAGAACACAAAAACTCTCCGATCACACTCTTAATCTTATGGCTGTTAGACGGGAGATGAGGCTGCAATCGTCAACAGATTTGACAGCATACAGGCAACTGAACAGACAGATCTCCAAATGCATGCGGCGAGACTTACGCAACTTTAATACTGCTCGTATTAAAGAAGCGATCGAGCGGAACCAGGGCTCCAAAGTCTTTGCCAGAGATCTGTCTGCCAGAAAGAGCCAACTGTCAAGGCTGAAGACTGAGTGTGGCAGCATCGTTTCCGGGACACCTGAGATTTTGAGTGAGATTGAGAGGTTCTATGGGCAGCTGTACACATCACCGTTGGAGCCACACGCAAGTGTGAGTAACGATCCAAGAGCAAGTCTTATCCGACACTATTCCGATGATATCCCGGACGTCAGTCTAAACGAGATTAGAATGGCTCTCCAGCACCTTAAAAACGGCAGGGCCCCAGGCGAGGATGGAATTACAGCGGAGCTTCTGAAAGCGGGTGGAACACCGGTACTTGAAGTCCTTCAGAAGCTCTTCAATTCCGTCCTCCATGGTGGCACTACTCCAGAGGCGTGGAGCAGAAGTGCGGTGGTCTTGTTCTTTAAGAAAGGCGACAACGCTCTCTTGAAGAACTACAGACCGATTTCCCTTCTGAGCCGCGTCTACGTGCTGTTTTCGAGAGTCATTACAAATCGTCTCGCACGCAGACTCGACGACTTCCAGCCTCCCGAACAAGCCGGTTTCCGAAAAGGCTTCAGTACCATAGACCACATACATACCCTGCGGCAGATTGTACAGAAGACTGAAGAGTACAATTTGCCACTTTGCCTGGCGTATGTGGACTATGAGAAAGCCTTTGATTCCGTCGAAATTTGGGCGGTGCTGCAGTCCCTTCAGCGGTGCCAAGTTGACTGTCGGTATATCGAAGTGCTGAAGTGTTTGTACAGTAGGGCTACGATGGCTATCCGAGTACAGAACCAGAGCTCGAAACCTATCCAACTGCAGAGAGGTGTAAGACAGGGTGACGTTATATCCCCGAAACTCTTCACCGCTGCATTGGAAGACGTTTTCAAGCTACTGGACTGGAAAGGATACGGTATTAACATCAATGGCGAGTACATCACTCACCTTCGATTTGCCGACGATATAGTCCTTATGGCAGAATCGCTGGAGGACTTAAGTACTATGCTCAATGACCTCAATAGTGCCTCCCACCGGATAGGTCTTAAGATGAACATGGACAAAACAAAGATTATGTTTAATGTCCATGTCACACCTATGCCGGTAGTTGTTGGGAGTACTATGCTCGAAGTTGTTGACGAGTACGTTTACCTGGGACAAATATTCCGACTAGGTAAGTCCAACTTCGACCGAGAGGTCAATCGACGGATTCAACTCGGCTGGGCAGCGTTCGGGAAATTACGACATATCTTCTCGTCAGGTATACCTCAATCTCTGAAAACTAAAGTGTACAACCAGTGCGTGTTGCCAGTGATGACTTACGGATCAGAGACGTGGTCCTTCACTGCTGGCCGTATGAGGACGCTCAAGGTCGCTCAGCGAGCTATGGAGAGGGCTATGCTCGGAGTTTCTCTGCGTGATAGACTCAGAAATGAGGATATCCGCAGTAAAACCAGAGTGACCGACATAGCCCAACGGATTAGTAAGCTGAAGTGGCAATGGGCCGGCCATATAGCTCGAAGAACCGATAACCGATGGGGAAGAAAGGTTCTTGAGTGGCAGCCTCGTACCGGTAGGCGTAGTGTAGGGCGACCCCCCACTAGATGGAGTGACGACCTAGTAAGATATGCAGGAAGTCGATGGATGCAGGTGGCTCAGGACCGTGCTTTGTGGCATTACTTGGGGGAGGCCTATGTTCAGCAGTGGACTTGTGAAGGGCTGTGATGATGATGATGATGATGATACCCGCTCCACCTAGTGTAAGTTAAATGTACTATGCCTTTAATATAGTTGCTCATAATTGCAAGTTGCTATGGAAAAGAGATGCCCGCTTTTACCAACGACCCATAATATTTATGGGACCCCTTAGAATATTTAGGGGCCAGTTCGGGGATAGTTTCCGTTTCACCAATTTTAAAGGGTCCGTTACTGACTAATCAATCCCCTAAATTTATGAGATAGGTTTTTGTTCCCATAAACCATCACATAAGGAAAAGAGACTTCTAGTGGACGATATGGACAGTGATCTATTTAATTTTCTTGATAATTTAGACACGACTGACACTATATTTGATATAAATCGTAGTCGTAGACCTAAAATATGTTGAAAACGACCCAATTATTTCTATGATTTCGATAAATTAGATTTTTTTCCGAAGATATAAATTATCTATATCAACAGTGATATATTTGTTGGAAAAAATTGAACATTTTTTGGAATTTTCTGATAATAAGTGAGCACCTACCTATTTACGTAGGTAATCATAAATCAATTTTAATGTAGGTACCATAGTCCATAATATTATTTAAATTGTAGTGTATTAAATATTTAACATAATAGGTGGGCTCCTACCTTTTGACTTTTTACCTATTATACCTATCTACGAAATAACAAAAAAATATATATAAAGGTAAAGCATATAGGGTTACTTTATTGATCTCCTAACAATAACTTTTGAACGGATAATGAACCTGTATAAGTAGGCCGTAGGTACCTGTTTGGTGCTTACTTACCTAGCTGGGTAATTTGATACCCTAGGTATATCTACTTTAGTTCCTACCTACCTTTTTAATTTGTAGAATTTGTGATTCACTTTATTTATTTACATGTTAATTTTTTTACAGGAACTGTTCCATACCCATAAATCAATTATTAAAATAGCTTTAAGATATTACGTCACAGGCAGTCACTTGCTTGCTGCGGCGGATATGGGTGGCGTTAGTTTGGCTCCGTCCAGCCGGATAGTAAAGATCTTCTCAAGCAATTGTATCCCTACGTCGATAGTTCATCATTTTCCAATACAAATAGAGACCAAGACAGTTGACATAGAGTTCTATGGTATAGCTAGATTCCCTAATGTACTATTGCTGTATTGATTGTACACATGTAAAAATTCAGTCACCAGGTAAATTCCTTATTTTGATTTAACTTCGCTTCACAATAGCTCATTTCTCTTAGAAGTCTATCAAGCAACACTGATGGAGTATTATTTATATCTTTAGGCGGAGATAATGCAGAACTATTTAGAAACTGAAAAGGCTACATGTCCATAAATATTCAAACAATTTCGTCACCAAATTGATGAAGGATGTTGTTGCACGCTGGGCAGGTTCTACACGATTCAGCACTTTACCAAAACAGCAATACTTATAGAAAGTTTGAAAGAGGGGAGTATGGAGACAGCCATTTGCTTGGGGATAGTGGCTATCCCTTGAAGGTAAAATAAAATATAACCAGAATAACATCTATTTGCTGGCAAACTTACATGCAAGCATTCAAATATAATATACATTCAATATTCACAGAGCTCAAAATATTGATTAAATAATTACTTATTGTTTAATAGAATCGATCTGACCAATTGCAAAATTTTCAAAATATAGTCAATGTAGTACATGAATCATCCCCTTACATCTGTTTTAATAAGTTTATAACTATAGATAGGGTAGGTGAAATTAATAAAAAGATTATGCATAAGTATAGAATATTTGATTGATTAAAAAGTTCACTTAAATTAGGTATTTGCAGAACCATTATAAGGTATTCCAAATACATTTTGGAAGTTTAAGGTGTGACCTGAAATAGAAAATAAAAATTTTACATTACATAAATTACATTATTATAAACAATAATACTTAAAAACATTTTTATTTTCAGTCTCATCTCTTGACACCTTATCTCTATAATATATAACCGTACAACAAGTAGAGAACGAAAAATATAATGAAGCCCAAATTATAACAAGAAATGTGGTGGAACGGCAATATGGTGTGTTAAAACGAAGGTTTCCAGTACTTGTTCTTGAATTCGTTTAGCTTTAAACAATGCCATCAATGTCATAACAGCTTGCTATACCTTGCACAATATATGCATGTGAAGAAATGAGCACCAGCCTGTGAATAGTGATGACGTTCCAAACCTGGAAGAGCTGATTACAAGGGGACCAATCAATAATATGTCATTTTCTGACAGACCGTCTTTGGCATATGGATTTCGCTGAAAACAAATTACACAATACTATTATTTATGATAATTTACAAATATATAATTTATTAAGTAAAATACATTTTTATTTTCACCAATCAATAAAACACATACCTTTTAGTTGGTTGCATACTTCAGTTTTAATTTCCAATTCCTTTCTAGCTATATCTAACTGCAGCTGGTACAAATTTTACGCTTAAATTTTATTTCTTCTTCTAACATTTTTGTCTTTAAATCTTAAACTTCTGCCAGTTTAGTTCATCTTATCCTTGTCACCCCTCAGTGTTGCTCTGTCTAACTCTCCATTGAACAACTGTTAGGAAAGAAAGTATCTCCTTAGTCTGTGATAAAATAATATCTCACAAACAGAATAATATATATAACTTGTATATAACATATTATATTACAATATGTAAGTTAGCCTTTTTTTCTACTATAGCGTTTGGACTATTTGTCAGTCAGTTTCTACTTTTAATATACCTACATAATATTAGAGAATTCTATAAATATTTACATTTATATTTTGAAATATTAAAATTTCCATTGTCTCATTAACAAGTATTGGTAACGAACTTGGCTTCAGCACTTTAATCAGCATCTAAATCCTGGACACCAGTTATGCCTGCACATGCTCGGCCCATCAAGTCATTAAAGAATAGGATCTGTCTTAACGTATGATGAGCCATCCCTGTGGCATTGTGACTACTTTTGCTGAGTGCTTTGTATAATTTTGCATCAGTCTTCATTTTCTCCCAGACTCTTAAAAGAGATTCTTTACTTCTGAAATGTTAGTGGTAGGTTATCAATAGGCAATTCAGGACAAATATAGTAGCTAAAGAGGTTAATGTACTGAGAATGTTGATGAAATTATTCAAGTAAGTAAATAGAAACTCTTTAATACACACATTACATTTATAAAATCAAGGCAATAATTATGATTAAACTATTTACAGCTATAAAGTTTGGATGTTAAAGCAACTTAACTTGAAATCAACTAGGTATAACAACAATTAAACAAAGGTTTATATTTATATAAAACTGTTTATCAATAACTTACCTAGCCGTAGTTCCTGTGGAATTTAATCTAGTGCACAAATTCACCCACGCTTCATTCGTCGCTTGGTTTATTATGCCATCAGACTTTTTATTTAGTATTACATTTTTAAAAGTATCCCTTAACTTTATCAGGTTATCCTTTTCATCAAACGCGAAATTTTGACAGCGCTTCCTATTATTTTCGGTCATAATTATAAATTAGAAAATTAGAAACGGTTACCCATGTATTTTAAAGCAAATTAAAATTAACCAAACTAAAATCACCACGAAAACTTGCAAAGCCAAATGCCAAACAGTCTTCTTTATTAACTGGCTTTACGGCTCCGGTTTCTAGACCTTCTGAGCCTATCCTTTCTTTGGGAATCTTCATTTTACGTTCTTTTTATTCACAATATGCTGATGCGTCACATTGCGAAGCCCTTGGGAGATATTGACGACAGCTCAACCTAGCGGACAGTTGATGACGACAGCCACTCAAGTTCATGAGGCGCCCAAGCTATCAAAATAACTTGAGGTTTATATCGAAATCAAAGCACTTGTTTCGTCGTTTTCTCTAATAGTTCACACGCGCAGACACACTTTTACGAATCGAAACCATTATTCAAGCGACAAAACAGGAGCGACAATCCTTCTACGGCCAAGTTCCCGCCAAAACTCCCTGCCAAACGGTCAATGCACACTGCACAGATAAAACAGAGTATCATATACGTAGACTTGTCAAACGTAGACTAAAAATATGATATTTTAATTAAAATATCAACAAAATGAAAACATCTATCAGTCAAAATATGAAAGAATCAATTTCTTCATTAAAATAATACATGAAAACGTATAATTTGTATAAATATAAATAATTTCCGATAAGCACTATCGTCGTAAAACATCTGTCACATAAGGAGGGGTCCCCTAGCTACGGGTCTGTTGCGTTCGTGAAAACAAATTTTACTTATGGGTTGGTTTAGGGGAACTTTTAGCTTAACGGTCGTCTAACTATGTGATTGTTTAGGGGATTTTGGTGAAATTGGGCAGGAGTGTTCTTGTGTTTGCGTATACACTCGGGCGCTATAATTTTGTACTGGGTCGTTTCCGTTGAGACTGGCCACCGTGACCGAAACTCGGCACGGAGAACGTTATTTTAATTTCTATTTCCAAGGGAAGCTCACGTGCTAAATGAGTACGTAAAATTGCAATTAACAATTTTATTGATGCTGGCGGAATTCGAACCCGAGTATTTATCCAAAATGAAGACAGAGAAAAAACGAATACCTGCGTAACTATTATCACTTATATCATTCCATCGAAGGTAAGCCTAATAGAAAAACCCGACGTGCGTGAGTAATGGAAGAGCCGAGCGCTCTTATTTGTCAAATGACTACGTCCGGGAAATTATATCGTCATTATTCATTTTATTACATTATTCATAGATTTTCGTTTCAAACTATGTGAGAAAAAAGTCGATTTAGACATTTAAATCGGAAATGTTTTACAGATTTATTCAATCTTAAACTATACCTGCGTAAAATAGCAGCCTTATCATGCTTTTTTTATAGAAGAGGGGAAAAACGAGCATACGGTTCTCCTGCCGTTAAGTGACCACCGCCGCCCATGAACAACCGCATCACCAGGTGCCATACACATATTCGTATCGTGTTTTACTGGAATTTTTTACCGGAAGTAAGGCATTTTATCTTAGTCTTCAGAGGTGACAATGTTTACTAATTACAATGCATATGTTATTTTTTTAATTGTCTATCTTCATTTAAATATAATTTTATCCTACGAGAATATATTATCAACTTTATCGTTGTTCCTGTTACACAGATCCTAAGTATTTACAAAGAGGTAATCAATGTGTTAAGAATATAGAAATTAATTATTTTGCTATCACTGAGTGTGGTTTCGCAAGTATATTCAAAAACCAACCCATTTCGCCCAAATAAATATAAAATTTTTGCTCCAGATTCTCCCTTTTCTTTTGATATTTGACACATTCTGCTAGCATATGTAGGACATTTTCTATAATGCAACATATATAGCAATTGGGCGAGTCTAATTTTTTCATCAAAACTACTTTTTTATTTAAGTTGTACGAAAAAGTACTGTTTGTATGGGTCCAGGCGCCAGGGTATCCCCAAAGAGTGGTTCTTTAAAGTATCAAGCCATAACAATTAACCAATGAAATAGCAGGTCCAAACAAATGAGAGTTCCATAGAACTAAATGAAAGCATAAAATTAAAAATAGCAACGCCGCCACGTCTCATTAACTTCTTCTGACGAGAATTAAACCATTTCAGAGTTAGTGACTGGTTTTGACTTAGACGAAGGAATAAAACTTCACAATTAAAATGGATGCGGTAAGGCAGTGTTCATTTTTAAAGTTATGTTAAATCAAGCATTTTAAATAAATAAATATACTGTTAGGTATACGTGAGGCTAATATGGTCATCCGGTTAATATGATCATTTTCTTATAACTCAAAATATTACAGCCTTGATTGCATAAACGAATCTGTGATACGATAGACCTTCATCAGTAACTCAGATTATAAAAGGTCAAAAGGGCGCTGCTTTATCGAAACCATTTTGACAGTGGACATTATTATTAATATGATCATTAGCTGTTTTTAATAGATTTTTTGAGGTTCTAAATAATTAATTAATTATTGCTAAAGCTTGTTTGCCTATTTATTATTAATAAATTATTAATAGGATATAACTTTGTGTTTTTTTTTTCTCTGTACTCTTTATAATTTTGGTTTTATGTGGTGGAAAGCCTTAAGGTGGCGTGGCGGTGAGAAAATTCATAACTTCATTTAACTTCTTATCCGAAAAACAATAGAAAAATACCTAATAAGATGGTATGTCTGGCTGGATGGAACGGCGGCACTTTGTATCCACGTAGCGAAGGTGTATGTGAGGTGATGTGTAGCTACTACGGGAGCTGTAATTCCATTCACAAGTTTGAGGTCGTCCAGCGTTTTCTTCACGTCAGCCATCACGTTGTCAACCCGATTGTTCACTTGGTAGAATAAGACCAATGTAAAAAAATATGTTTGTCTTATAAAATAAGGGTAACAAATGAGAGAGGGTGACAAATGACAAACAAGGGAGGGTGATAAACAGTCCACCTGATGGTCAACCGATACGCTGGCCTATGGATATCAACATTTATCCTCGATTAATATAATCAAAGTGCAGATCCATTTTCACTCCTGGGAACTAAGATGGAATACCTTGTTTCCAGAAGAAAATCTCTCTCTGCTCTCTACACTTACGAAGCATAGTGAGGGCGTGGTCTTTCCATGGTTGAAACTCGACTCATTAGTACTATAACTATATAGTTATAGCATGGCTCTATCACGTATAGCTTCAGTATGGGTCAACCATTTATATTTATTATGTACCTTACATAGTTTAAAGAGCATTTTCCTCCCTCCCATGATTTCGTACACTGTTAGTGCTACGGCTAAATCAAACAGTCAAGCCAACATCCAATGTAGTGGTACTAGGGTTAGCACTAACATCAATTACAGAATATTTTTGTCACTAAACGAGGCATCGTTATGACGAACAGATTCTATTAATGAAAATTAAGCATATTTAACGCGATTTTTATTCAGTTGTGGCTGCAAAACTTTGCCTTGCTTTTGATTGAAAAAGTGTTTATTCACTGTAGAGACTGTTTTTTTTTTTAAAAATCGCTATATACTAAACTAGGGATTTCATTCGACAATATCGCGATGTGTTAAACATAAACTTTAAGTGAACAAATTAACTATTTCCAGGCTACGGAAACAATTTTTTCTCACAATCACATGTAAAACACACGCGCACATGCACACACACGCACACGCACACGCACATGCATATGCACACGCACAATCATACGCACAAACACACGCTCAAACACACGCGCACGCACACACGCACGCACACGCACACACACGCACGCGCACACACACACGCACACACACGCGCCACACACACACACACACACACACACACACACACACACACACACACACACACACACACACACACACCATCCATTCCCAAGTTTGAGGTCGTCCAGCGTTTTCTTCACGTCAGTTATCACGTTGTCAACCCGATTGTTCACTTGGTAGAATCGAGTTTCAGCTTCCAATAGGTGGTTGCCCACCAACCAACCACCACCCAAGGAATTTAAATATAGAAGGACATAAAATTGACGTAGCCTAAAGTTTATTTAGAAGTCATATACCGTATCCATATCTGTAATATCTTTCGTACGTCGCTGTCACTCATCAAGGGAATCTTATTGTGCCTGCATAGAAAGGAGCGATGGCAAACAACAGACATAATCAGCGTTTAATCCAAAAATATTAGGCAAGTTAATATAGGAACGAACTCTGTTCGTATAAAATAATTTCATGAGAAAACTCTTGAAAAAAATATAATTAATACCTGAGTTCCTCCTACATTTTTCTTATAAAAGAGGGAACAAACGAGCATGCGGCTCAACTGATGGAAAGTGACTACCGCCGCAGATGAACAACTGCAACACCAGTGACATTGCAGGTGCGTTGCCAGCCTTTTAGAAAGGAGTAAGCTCTTTTCCTGAAGGTCCCAAAGTCCTATAGTCCGGAAAAATTACCGGTGGTAAACGAACTCACAGAGAAGTCGTATGAGAAAGAAAACTCCTAGTAAAGCGTACAGTGGTGGAACGCCAAGAATCCAAACGGTGAGGATGGTATCGTGAGTTTTGTCGCGATATGCGTTCATGAAATTTGGAGACTGGAATTAATTCGAACAATTCCTCAAAGCAATCCCCGTGGTAGATGCGATAGAAAATGCAAAAACACTAGTCTATCTAACCGAAAGAAGAGGACTCGATCATTGACCATTCGAGCTGCTCTGCGCTTTTGTTGTAAGATGGGTGTAAGATAATGAGATTACAAGTATATGAATAGACATTTCCATATTTTTATTATTCTGGTCAATAAGTAACAGGCTTTATGCATAAAGCCCGGACAATTTAATTATAAGATTTCTTTATCACATTGCCTACTTATATTGGGAATTATTCATATTTTCCGGGCATTATGAATAATGCCCCAAGGTCCATAACATATATAATAATAATATCTGTTTATTTAATTAACTACCTACATTTGTGGATATATACTTTAAGATATTTTTGTATTAATAACA